GGTGATGGAAAGAAGGTACAAGAGGTACCTGCTGGTGGAGAAAATGATGTGGAGACTGGCACTAGTGGAGCTGCTGGATCTGAGGGGAAAGAGCAGCAGCAGGGGAAAACTAAGAAGCCGAAGGGTGTCGTTATGAAGGGATGGGAGACACCCGTCTCCAGGCCAGGACGTACCCGTATGGCTACTAAGAAGCTGACTGCAGGAGCTGATGTAGCAGAGCAGCAGCTTGGGACCGAGGAGGCATTGCTGATTCTACCGCATGGCTATGATCCGGATGAGGAGGATGAACCTGCCTACTGTTTTCTTGCCCCTGCACCAGAGGAACCAGCTAGCATGGAGGAGGCATTAGCTGGACCAGATAGAGAGAAGTGGCTGGTTTCCAGGGATGCTGAGTACCAGAGCCTGCTAGAGAATGGGACATGGGAGCTGGTGGTGCTGCCTGAGGGAAAGAAAGCGGTACAATGCAAATGGGTGCTAAAGATCAAGACTGACAACAAGGGGCAGGTCACCATCTACAAGAGTAGGTTGGTGGCTAAGGGGTTTATGCAGAAGGAGAAGCGGGACTTCAATGAGATCTTTGCTCCCACTGCCAAACCCCCTACCCTTCGTGTCTTGTTGGCAGATGCAACCGTTAGTGGGAAATTCATCATTCAGATGGATATATCAACGGCATTCCTCAACGGGATTTTAGAGGAGGAGGTGTTCATGACGCAGCCACCTGGGTATGAGGATGGTACGGGCAGGGTGTGCAAGCTGAAAAAGTCCATCTACGGCTTGAAGCAGGCGCCACGCTGCTGGTACCAGAAGTTGGCAGCTGTTTTAGAGGAGATGGGATTCAGGACCAGCAGCTGTGATGAGAGCCTCTTTCTCAAGGGGGAGGGGGAGAAGCTGGTGCTGTTTCTGGTCTATGTGGACGACATTCTTCTCTTTAGCAGCAGCATGAAGGAGATCCAGAAGGTGCAGCAGCAGCTGATGGAGAACTTCAAGTGCAAGAACCTTGGGGAGGTAAAGTACTACCTCGGGATGCACGTGGAGAGGGATCTGGATCACAGGTGGTTGAAGCTGCACCAGGAGAAGTTCATCAAGGAGCTTGGGGAGAAGTACGGAATTGAGAATGAGCGCAAGGTTCCGACTCCCCTGCCAGAAGAATTCAAGCTTGTGAAAGCTGCAGAGGATGAAGGGGTTGAAGCCGAGGAGCAGCAGCAATTTCAGTCCTTGGAGGACAGCCTCTTGTATGCAGCAGTTCACACGAGGCCCAACATCTCTTTCTCGGTTGGGCAGCTGGCTAGGGTGGTGCAGAATCCATCAGAGGAGCAGGTGGATGCAGCTGAGCGTGTGGTGAAGTATCTGAACTCTCACCCAAGCATTGGAGTTCAATACTCCGCATCTGCACAGGTGAAGCAGAAAGTGGTTGAGGTGCTGAAAGAGAAGGGGGAGAGGCTTGGAGAAGGCAAGCTCTTTCTCACTTGCTTTACTGATGCTACGTAGGCCTCTGAGAAGGAGGATTCCTCATCTGTGGGAGGATACATCTGTGTAGTTGGAGGAGGACCTGTTAGTTGGAGGTCAAAGAAGCAGACGGAGACAGCACTCTCTTCTGTGGAATCAGAGTACATGGCGATGTTCCATGGGGTGAAGGAGGTGATTTGGCTGAGGAGGCTGTTAGAGGAGATTGGCCAGGAGCAAAAGGTTGCTACGCCGCTGTTTTGTGATAGCAAGGGAGCTCTTGGGATGGCCAGGAACGCTGTGCTTCATGGGCTCAATAAGCACATGCGTATCAAGTGGCACTGGCTGCGTAAGGAGGTGAAGAGGGGGACGGTGAATCCGATCTACATCAAGACTCACCAGCAGCCAGCAGACTTCCTCACCAAGAGGCTTGCGGATGAGCCTCATTGGCGTTGTGTGCGTATGAGTGGAATGAGCATGAACTAGTATGGAATGATGGGGATGCAGCCGGCAGGCTGAGGGGGAGTGTGTTGGGTGCAAATTCACATTGCACAACATCCTGCCGTCTGTTTGTACGAGTATGCGTGTGCGAATGCATTTGCGTGTGAATGGTATGTTCGTGTATTTGTTTGCTTTCGCAATTTTCGCTTAAAGCATTTGCAGGTACTCGCACAATGTGCGCTTCGGCATAACATTGTACGCGCTATGAACAGTACAAGCAGAAAGGACGAGCTCGCAAAGGAACCCAAGATGGAAGCTTTGCGGTTCAACTTACTTGATTGCGCAGATTCAGTTCTATCCAACTCGAAATTGTACTGTTTTGTTTGGTTGACTCTAGTGTAGCAGGGCAGGCACTATAGGGGTACAATTTAGGTGAAGGTTGGATGTTGTTTGTCTGTATCTGCATGCTACAGGGCCAGGGGAAACCAGCGGAACCAGCATTTGGCTGGTTGGGCAAAGACAAAACAGGTTCTGTTTTTAGGACCTGAACCTGGTTGTTGTTTTTCGAGGTTCGAAAAACAGAACCAGAGGTTGTTCACCAACCTACCACCTGCTTTTTTGTCCAGCCAGGTTGGTTCTGTTGCTTGGAATTATTTGGGATCATCCCTAGTTGTTCCCAGGTTGATTCCCAAGGTCCATCCTAGCTAGAACTATATATTCCTTCTCTGTTTGTACCTGAATATAGTGAAATTGATTCAAGCGAATTCCTCCCTTCCTGGAAATTCGTTTCTACGCGGTGCGACAGCGGAATGCTACCCAAGTCAACGCTAGTACGCTAGCACTCCAACGCTAGGCTAACTTTGTAATGGCAAAACTTTTCGCGAGGAAACTTGGCTTATTTTAAAGCTCTTAGAGTAAGCTTGGATATAGTAAATTCTCAGCTTAATCCGATCTACGGTCTGCACGATACGCTGCGCGACGTTCAAGGTACTCTTGCTGTTTTGACTAAGTCCCTCTTGATCCCTCTCTCTACAAACTCGGACCCGAGGATAGGGGCTGGTCTTGTACCAGGCACCCAAGGACCCTTGGAGGTGACCCCGAGGAGAGGTTTTAAGTTTGATAAAGTCTTAATAGGTTGAGTTTATTAGGCCCTTACACCAACAGGAACGACTCGAGGTGGACGCTGAGTTAGAAGCACTTGAGAGGGAATTCGAGGAAGACCGCCGCAGGACGATTAGGGTGTACACCGCACCCGTGAATCAGTACCGTCTCTAGTTTACCAATCTTTCTCTCTTCCACGGCCGGCGGTAGAGCAACATACGAGCGGTCTTGGACGACGTCGACATGCCCGACGTCGGTACTCCAACCGACCACAGTCCGTCGTCTGCCCCCAAAGAGACGCTGAAGTTGCTTTACGATCTTGAAAAACTGACTTAGATTTCCGAAGGGGAGTACACCAAGGACATACCGAAACCGCCAATAGGGGAGTTTATTAAGAAGTCGACGCCGACGCCAGATGGGCAGCCTGGACCTTCGTCGGTGCCGGCTAGCTCGGAAAACGCCGGCGATGACGACGACGAGGACGAGGAAGAGAGCGACGACGAAGTCGACGAGCGTCCTCCGCGTAGCACGAATCCGCGCACCTTGGAAGAACGCCTTAGGCAGGAATTTGAATACATACGTGACATGCTCGAACAGGACGAGAAGGAGGACAATCAGAACATGGCGGTGCCGCGGGAAGACTGGAAGGCGACAGACTTTGTAGTGGACGACATGGTGTACTCCAGCATCGACGTGCTCGTCATTGACGCCCTACGCCACCTACAATGCTTGGAGAAGGATAGCACGCTCACGCTGTACACGGCGTTCATCTACCACTAGAAGAAGTGGGCGGCGAAGATGCTGAAGCAGATACGCGACAAGCTACCCCATGAGCAACGACTTAGGCACGTCGACGAGATCGGCCACTACATCCGCGACAACAAGAAAAAGGATTGGTGCAACGAGAAAGTGGTCCGCCGACAGTATATCTGGCTGCACGGCCCTAGGGTTACCGAAACCCAGCTGCGCGCCTACGTGAAGCAAATGAGCTGTGAGTGTAACCTCGTTGTTGACCAGCCCGGGGAGGAAAACAATGCCACACGAACCGGGCCTGTGAGGTCGACAACTGTGCACACGATTCTCGGGCGCATAAAGGCATGCCAGATGGCGGCGAGGGTGGAGGCGACGCTGTACTGAGAGAAGGAGCTGGGCATCATGAGGGAGATCTCGGTGGTCAGATCGGAGGTGCGGTTCAACGTCCGCCACAAGAACGAGAGGGACATCAAGTAAGTTGGTCGACAACCTTATTCTTTATCACTGTGCACTGTGAAGTCGACGCAGTTTAACAGATTTTCCCTGTCGATTTGCGTTCAGGAACTGCGCCGACCGTCGACGCGACACCATCGGCGATACCTACACCGCCGAGCAGTTCCGCCAGATCATGATGAGGGTGCTGCCGACATGGGCGGCGGCGGCGTGGAACCCGCGGGCAACCACTCCGTCGCAGACGCTGTGGCGATTCCTGCTCGTCAAGGTGCTCACGCTACTCTCCCACCACTCTCCTGCGCGGCGCCAGCTTCCGCGAGATCACGCTCCCCGACGTCTTCTTGTACCACCTGGCGAGCACCTCGGAGGTGAACCTGGATAGTTAGCCGGTCGTCATGGTGATCGCCGCGCGTATCTCAAAGACTTCCAAGGATGCCCGTCTTCAGCAGAGCTACGCGGTACGACACCTGGAAGCGGAGCTGCGCGCCGTCGGTGAGACCGGCCTGTGGCTGCACTTCATCCTTGACCAGATCGGTCAGTTCTCCGGCACCGACTTCCTTCCGCCGCTTGACACCACTGAACGTGAACGCTGGTACAAGAAGCATCTCTTCTTCGCCAAAAACGAAAAGGAGCAGGAGGAGCTCCCCGCCGCCACCCACCAACGTTGGACTCGGCAGATGTGGACGAGCAACAAGGTGTTCTGCAAAAGGAACGTGCACGCCGCCCGCGCCGGAGGTGCGCAGAAGCTAGCCATCGGAGGGACGCCGCGCGTCGAGATCGCCGAGCTGGGACACTAGGCTCTCGACAAGATGACGCGTGCGTACATCACGGCCATTCCCGTTGGGGTGGTGATGCGGAAGGCCGGCTACTCGGGACTCAAGCAAGACTACTTCTTGGGGCGCAGCAGGGTCGAGCCCTCCGACAAACTCCTGGACCTCCTCGCCGAGCACTTCTTCCCCGGCGTGGATGCTATGCTGCGCGATGTATGTCACGCGACGCCGACAATGTTTTTCAGTCGTCGTGGCCTAGTTGGCTGCCCAACTCCCTACTAACCCACACCACCTTCCGACTTGCAGGCGGAGACGCGTGCCATGAACGGGAGCGACGCCGACAAAGCCGCAGTGCACTTCTTGCGCACCCTCGTGATGTTCCGATGCATCGTCGCCGAGGACCTCGCAGTGAAGCTCGTCCGCACACCGTGGCACCCGTACGTCCAAGGTTCCAAGCTCTGCAAGATTGCCCTCTTCCAGCACTGGGCAAAAAGGGTTGAGTCGGTCGACACCGATACGATCAAAAAGTGCCGGGACCCGACTCAGATTCAGCCGGAGATGAGTTGCCGACCATGCCGGCGTCGTTCGAATACCGGTGAATTCTAACCTCTTGTCGCCTTTCTGCACACTCAACATTGCAGGAAATCTCTGTCCGCATGGACACCCAGTATCACAACATGTCCCTCAAGGAGGCGCTGAAAAAGGAGGTCGAGCGCTCGGCGCTCGAGAAGCTAGGCCTTCAGGAGATGTTCGAAATGCAAAACGACACCATCGCGTCGCTCACCGCCGAGCTTGCTCGAGTCACCGAGGCACTCCGTGTGTCAGAAGCCCGGAGGATGCCGGCGGCGCCGCCGTCGGCGACCGAGCAAGCATCGAGCAAGGGTGGCTCCGCGGATTTGGCCAACACGGGGACCGGAGCCAAGAGAGATGATGGGAAACCCCCGCCACCCCCCCAGACGGCAGAGGAGGCCAGTTACGAGCTCAACGTCGTGCAACCTTGGCGGGAGGCAAAGACCGTGCGGGACGCTTGGCGCTTCTGGAACTCCGCCACCACCAATGACACCCGTCGTCTTTGCGACAGGGTCGCCGAGCCGGGGTTTATCGACCGCCACACCCTCCTCAAAGGCGCGACACAGGGTGCACTCAGCGTGAGGGTGCGCCGCATGCTGAAGGCCATGGATGTGGTGCGCCAGCTACGCGCGAGCGACGGCGATGCCGACACCGAAGCCGTGGTCGATGCACTGAACACGATCGCGGCACCGGGCATTGGGACCTTCTGCGATGCCCTCACGGTGCTCAACCCGGAGACGGCACCGACGATGTCCAAGGAGCCTGGCATGGGCGTCAAGGGGCTTGCCCCCAAGGTGGTCTCGAAGCTACGCCTCGCCTGTGCGCTGGTGGCGCTCGAGCTGAAGCCGAGGACGTGGGTCGACCGCCTGTTTCCAGACACCTGGGAGGTGCAGATGCCGAAGACCGTGGCCGACTTGGCCAAGCAGACCGCACCTGCGCAGCGTCCTCCAACAAAGCGCAAGAAGTCGGCATGAATGTGTTATCGTAGGTTGATGATGCCCTCATTGTGGTCGACTATATCAAACCTTATTCCTGTTATCGTTCAGGTTGTTCATGGTGAAAGAACACGAACATACATGATCCAACAATTGTAGATGCGGCCTTACATCTGACATAAGCGCCGACATGGTACATCCCCGAGTAGCATGCGAGTGCAATTCATTGTGTCTCATTCAGGTCGACATCGCCGACTGCACGTACAATTAGTTATCACCTAGCAAGCATACCACCAAGCACTCCCTCCGTGTGCCGACTACGCATTGTGGTCGACGGCGGTGTATAAAGCCCCCCGGCACTGACGAATTTGAAATGTACTGCTGATAAACAACACCGACCATCGAACTACCCGCCTATAATTTCATACAACGGCGACATGGTTCATCGCCAAGGTCGACAACGCCGACTGCACAACCAAAAAATCACTTACACTACCACAGAGTCACAAGCACTCCCGAAAGGTGACATGCATTACCAAAAAGTTACATGCACTCCCGTAGCTGAAAATCCTAAACCAGAATACAACCTAGCAATCAAATGCGCTCCCTCCGCGCGTCGACTACGCATCCGTGTTGTCCTTGCCCTTCCTGCCCTTCTTCCCCTTCGTCTTCTCCGTGCTGTCCTTGCCTTGCTTGCCCCTCTGCCCCTTCTTTCTCCTCTGCCCCTTCTTTCCCCTCTCTTTAAAATCTTGCTCCATCTGCGCGTCACAAGGCACAACGATGCCGACCTCCTCGAGTTTCGGCCCGGCGACGGGGCACATTCCCCAAAATGCCATGGTCTCCACCATCGCTCTAGCGACCACGACGGCTTCAACTTCTGCATCCCTCCCCGGATATAGCTTTTGCAGAGCGGCACTCTGCAGCGCCGGCGCGACGTTGTGCGCAACCTCCCCGAGGGGTTGCTCCCTCTCGATCTCGGCCGGAATCACCGCCTTCATGATTTTTTTGAAGACGTCTGCGGTCGTCTCGCTTGCACCGACCACCATCGCCGCCGCCTTCCCCTCTCTCACAGCATCGTCCACGAAGGCGTCATCGTTCTCGACTAAGCACCACAAGGCAGAAGCCGATGCCGCCCATGCCTGTGCCACCAGCTCAGTCTTCTCCACGACGCTCACAGCGACCTTCCCTTACGCCGCGCACATGGACACGCGACTAATCAGGGCCGACATCGCAGCATTCGCCTTCTATTGGCCTTCCTTCGTGTCGGCATCGATGGGGAACCAGATCGCCGGCAAGATCGCGTCGTGGTGCGCATCGCCTGAGCTCTTATACGCTCGATACTTGTCGAGGATGTCATCGAACCTGTCACGCAAACACATGAAACGGTTCTACCGTTAGGGACTACGACATCGTCAACAGCACTCGACCTAAGGGACGCCGACTTACCGTTTTCGTGGAAGGTACGCGCCCCGTGCCCATATCACCGTCCACATCCCTGTCGGCAGGATCCTGACCTCCTCCCACACCCTCCTCCAATCCTCCATCTCGGCGTCCTTCAAGCCGGTGAGTTCGTCCATGAGGACCTTGCTGACGTAACCGTCATAGACCATGAACGCAATCGAGTGCAGGTACGCCAGTTCCATCTTGACGCGTGACTTGCCGATGTACCGATTGTGATTGAACACTTTAATCTCGCCCACCGACCCTAACCCGTCGCCCATGCCATGACCCTTCTGACCCTTCTCCTTCTCCTCCGCCTCCTTCTCCGCCTGCTCCTTCTTCTTCTCCTTCTCCTTCCCCTTTTTCACCGGCCTACCCTCGCCGACCGCGGCCTTCTCCTTCCCTTTCTTCGCCGACGTACCCTTGCCGACCGACTTCTCTTCCTGATTCTGCTCCGCAGCTGAGTTCGCCCGTGTGATCCTCTGCGAGCTCGCCCTCCCTGTCCCTGTGTCGGCCTTCCCATTCCGCTTCGCCTTTCCGTCACCGATAGTCCCACTGGACGTCTTTGGCACCGCTGAACCACCAGGGGGACACGCCGCGGTCCCCACATGCGCCGTGTCTGAGATGGCCAGCGCCGGGGGGGGGGGGGGGGGCGGGGCGATGTACCGCTTCCAACAGGTTCTGGATGGCGGCGAGGTCAGCGTCATTGTGGCCTTTCGCCGCCTGTGCAGGGTCACCGCCTCCGCCACCGGTGGCTAGGGCTGCACTCACGCCCTTCTCCGCCGCCGCATCGACAACAGCTGCACCGGGTATGGGATCAGCCACGCCTGCCGACGTCTGCTTTGCGCCTGAGCCGGCTGCCAGCCGAGTACGTGTTGGTGCAGCCGCACTACGTGCGCCTAACCGGGCGCGAAGCAATGCGGACTTTGGGTCCGCGGGAGGACGGGCGGCGACCTGAGGCGCGGTAGGTGGGGCGTTGGACACAGCGGCGGCGACTTGCGGAGCAACCGAGAGATGCGCTGTTTCGAGAGGGGCAGCATCAACCGAGAGAGGCTGTTGCACGTCCTTGCGATGGGTGTCCATGCGGTGGAGCAGTTCCCTGAGCGCATCCGGCTTTCTGGTGGCCGAAGCATCGCGGTTAGCCGCAGCGTCCTTCGCGTCGCCCGTGGCGGCAGTCCGGACTGCTGGAGCAGGAGTCAGCGCAATCTCCGGCCTAACTTTGTTGTCGGCCGAGTGGCCGACCGGCCCCCTGCTGGCCCCAGGGGGGTCAAGGGGAGTCGACGTCGTCCCCGCCACCCCAACTGACGGACCCTTGACGGCTCTGGCGCCGCCATCTCCCGCCGCGTGAGGTGTGGGGGTCTCCTGGTCGGGGACCAAGGGCGGGGCTGTTGGTACAGCGTTTGGAGCGGCAACCCCATCGGCAGGGCCCCCATCTGCACTGCAGATCCCATCGCCCTTGCGGTGCAACCTTATCACCTCTGCCCCTTTTTTCTTGAGCTGGTCGACCACGCTCTGACCTTGAGTCCGCGAGCCGCCAGGACCCACCGCGCCAACGCCGTGGCTCCCATCTCCCCCCTTGCTCTGCTTAGTACTTGCTGAATCGACCCCGTCTCCCCTTCCGCCTTCGGCAGGCCTCTTCCGACCTTGTTTCTGAGCATCCTGTTGTTGCGCCTGGCCGGTGTCGTTGGCCGACGGCGACGACTCGCGTCGACCAGGCGCCGCATTGCTGATCATCTCAGTTAATGCCTTCATCTCGGACGCAACAAACGACTGCTATGTGACCTCCGTCACCGCTTTCAGCACGTCGGCCTTGAACGACTGAAGGAACTCTTCCGGTATGGCTTGAGTTGGGGCGGGAGGAGGAGGTGGCGGCGTCGGCAGGACGATGGGGCGAGAAACCGCGGCGGCAATGTTGGTTTGTGCGGCGCCGATGTAGCTGATGATGGTCTCCTCCAGGCCTTTCCAAACTGCATTCTGGTGCTCGACCACACAGGTTACCGCTGATGCGCGTTCGACTGCGATCGTTCTTTGGGGACCACTCATTTCCTTCAACCAGTCCACCACAAATCGCGACACCACCTTCGTAGCGTCGATGGCGTCCGCGATGTTGTCAGTGATCTCGTCGGCAAGAGTGGTCGACATGGCCGAAGTGGCGTCTTCGATACGTTTTGAAGCTTTCTGCTCGGTTGCGGCGACCTGTGCGGTCAACGCCGTGAGCTTGTTGAGGAGTCCAGCTACCGCCTTCGCCAAGATGTCGACCCGTCCCGTCTGGTCATTGAGCGACTCCTGCAGGCGTGCGTTGTCGGCCCGCAACCTCGTGTTCTCCGCTCGCAACAGCTCGACTACGTCCACCGGTGCCCGCCGACCGGATGCCGCGGGACCGGGGTGACCACGCGCCGCCTTGTTCTTCCTTGACCTCTCCCCCACCGCCTTGGCCTCGGTAGGCCCATCCATTCCCGTCCGCGTCGTTGCCGCTGCGGTATCCCCGCCTACACCGGCCTCGGGGTCGACGACTTCCTTTATGACGCCAGCCACATCGCCGACCACGACCTTCTCGCCCCGCCCGGGTGCCGCCCCCACGCAGGCGTCGTCGGCCTCATCCACACCCCCGTTCACAACATCCGCCGTCCTCCCACCCAGTTTCTCCGCTCCGTCGTCGCACTCCACCACCCCTTCAATTATCTCTAGCTCGACCAGTTCCTCTTCCTCCCCCTCTTGCTGCTTCTCCGCCTCCCCGACAATCGCCGCCTCCTCCTCATCTTCCTCCTCCTCGTCGTCGTCGTCCTCCTCCTCCTCCTCTTCCACTTCCTCCTCCTCCTTTTCCTCTTCCTCATTTTCCTACTCCTCCTCCTCTTTCTCTTCCTCATATTCCTGACCCTCATCATCCGCCTCCTCTTCCCGATCCCCGTTGTCGTCCTGGTGCTCCTCTGCGGTCCCAGTCACCGCCCTTCCTGCCCCCTCATCCATCCTGTCGACGTCGGCTCCTGGCTCTCCTTGTGGAGTCCCCCGCGCATCGTCGACGGTGTGGGCGACACCTACAGCTTGGGATGCCGAAGGGGGATCGTCGCCGTGGTCGTCACAGTCGTCGGCCGCAATACCGACATGGCCCGCCCGTTTCCTGTCGACTTCCCCCTTGACGAACGTTATCATCTCATTCCGCAGCGCCTTCAACCCCGTAACGTTGACCTTGTCCATGCTGGTGTCACTGCGACGGAGGTCGCCGGTCAGACGTTCCAGCCTCCTCACCACCTTGTACAATCCGCTCATTGCTAGCAGGCCGGAGCCCGTATGCTCGTTCCGGACAACGTCGGGCACTTTCTCCATACAACAAAGCAGAGAGAACGCGTGAGCTCCGCGTTAGGCAAGTGCATGGCGCAATAGGGACACACTGAAGGACTCCCTGTCGATCATGACTCACATCTCGAAGGGGTGAATCGCAGTCGGCGAGCCTGTCGGTGACCTCTTCGTCGGCAGGCTTCGGCCACTCCCACTTCCTACCATCGCGGCCCATCTCTGCCAGAACTGCCGCCCGAAAAAACCTGGAGAAACATGGCATACATAGTCGGTAAGCAATGCGTGACGAAAACGAAATGGCCGGCGTCGTCGACTACTCTATCGAGCTTATTTCATCACGGGGATCGCCTCGTCGCGGTGCCACATCTTCGCTGTATGCGGGTCGACGTGTCTGATCGAGGTCCTGATCTTCTCCCCTCCGGCCTTCAACAAATCGCCGGGGTATATGATGACAACGACGCTGCAATGAGATCCTGGAAGCGGCATGATGCTGCACAGGCAAGGCACGACGACGTCGATCAGAACAACTAACCTACATGCATGGCACCGCATTACGACTCGTTAAACAAGCTCACCCGGAGTGCAGTGGGATAACCGCTACGTCGGCGTCGAAAACCGTCGCGAAGCATTTGTGGTCGTCCCGACCAATCGCCGCCCAAAGCCGGCCGATTCCTATCGACCACAATCGCATCTTGCCCAACGTCGCGATATTCCATGATCGCCTGCACGCACACATGGTTATCAGGGGTGAGTTGGGGGGTAAAAAGAACAGCTAACGGCGATAAAATGACGGTGAACCCCCCTAACGCCGTCATAGTCAATCTAGACTAGTGATGCCGGCACAACCAGGTGCCGACACCGACGTGTCGGTGTAATCAAGGATCAAGATCGAGATATCACTGGCACCTTAAGTCGGCGTCTACGCTGCGTCGACGATCTAGGTATTACAAGCAAGGGTGACCTAAGACGTATAGGACGACACTGACATCCACCCTATACAGCGACTCACTTGAGGCCGAATCCCAAGCAACGTGCGGTGAATTCTAGCCTATGGTCTGCGAGGACGGCGAAGTCGTGTTCAAAAAGTTTGGAAGTGAGCCCACTACCCAGGTCGAGACACAGCGGAAAGTCCTGCGAAGTCGGCGCCGCTTCGGCCGCCATGGCGAGGTGAGGAGGTGACTACAGACTAAGGGAGGAGACTGTGGAAGTAAGGTGCAGAGATGGACAATCTTGTAAAACGAGAAACGAAAAGACGAAAATCAGGAGCGATCCCTCCTTCCACAAAGAAAAGGGAGTCGGTGGTGCCCCACAGGGAGGTTGAGGCATCGCCCAGGGCTCGTGGTGCCTGGCTCGGCAGGGTTTGACGGGCTCGTGCACAAGTGGGACAATTTCTCGTTCGCCGTCGAGCCAGCAAGTCAATGTCACGTCCCCTGGCCTCGGTCGGCCATGGGACGCAATTTCGCATGCGCGCGGTGCGTCGTTTCGTCTGACACGTGTCGATTGCGCATCGGATCGCGAAAAATGTGCGCCGCAAAGCGATTGAAATCTCGATTTCGCTACGTCCGAAATTCCGCATGCGCCCGATGCGAAAGGGCGGGCGAAAACGTGTCGTCACCGCATCGGGTCGCGAAGTTGTCGAGTGTCCCGAGGGGGGGCCCGAATTTTCGCCAGGCCCTCGCCTGCCCGTCCGGGCAGGTCGCGATGGGTTACTAGGACGTCGCGGGCAGGTGGCACGGTTGGGCTGCCTTCGCGCGAGGGTTACTTTCCGTCGCGCGAGGGGTCGCCAGTTCGCCGAACCCACCCGGTAACGTGGGTCGCTGTTCAGTTTCGGAGCGGGGCTGCGCGGCGGCGGTCGTGCAGTCGGCCCAGCCCTGGGCCAGGCTGGCGGGCCCGCACGCGCGTCAGTCCCCCGCCTCGTCAGGCCTCGCTCCGACGACCCCCCTCGACGACACTGGCAAATCTGTTCTGTCGACCGAATTCCGCTGGGGTGTTCGGAAATCGGTGAATCTGGCTGCCACATCATCTCGTAGCTTCTGCTTGTTTCCTGGGTCCGCGATATCCTTTGGGTTGTTGTACAAACGCACCTGGTCCGCGGTAAATGTGGATGCAATGTGGATTCGGCTCGCAGCGACACAGTTACGAGGCCCGGCGCTTGAGTGGATTTACAATAGCAACGAGGTCCGAGGCAAAGGGTCATGGATGCAGCTTCGAGCAGCATTAATTCAACGTTTCGAATCGATTTATTCAAGCTACATGGCGCGCCAGCAGATTCATTGGCATAAATAGTTCGACAGTGTAACACAGTATACGCAGCAGATGAAAAGCCTCTTCAGCGGAATTACTGTCCAAACCGAAGGGGAAAAAAATCCAAACGTATACTGTGGGGCTAAAAATGGAAGTCCGTTGACAGGTAATTGCCGCAAAATAGAACAACTATCGCGACATGGTGAGTGCTGCAGAGAGATTCGAAGCGCTGAATCGAGGTCAACCCAAAACACGACGAACAGATCATTCAGCACGGAGCGATCGGCACCACCCACGACCGCTGACCCGATAAATATTGACAAGATCGACGCAAAGCAGCGGCCGACAAAATATGAGAACTGCAAATTTTGTGGCACAGCAGGATATCGATTCTTGGCATGTTGGAAAATGAAGAAGGCACGAACGGAGCTGTAGTGCAACAATAGTGCGGCACCCCTGAAGTCAAAAAGGGAATCGCCTGTAGTTGCGGATCAACTTGGCGATCTGTTGGGTGCAAATTCACATTGCACGACATCCTGCCGTCTGTTTCTACGAGTATGCGTGTGCGAATGCATTTGGGTATGAATGGAATATTCGTGTGTTTGTTTGCTTTCGCAATTTTCGCTTGAAGCATTTGCAGGTACTCACGCATTGTGTTGTTTGTCTGTATGTGCATGCTACAGGGCCAGGGGAAACCAGCGGAACCAGCATTTGGCTGGTTGGGCAAAGACAAAACAGGTTCTGTTTTTAGGACCTGAACCTGGTTGTTGTTTTTCCCAGGTTGGAAAAACAGAACCAGAGGTTGTTTACCAACCTACCATTGCTGTTTTGTCCAGCCAGGTTGGTTCTGTTGCTTGGAATTATTTGGGATCATCCTTGGTTGTTCCCAGGTTGATTCCCAAGGTCCTTGCTAGCTAGAGCTATTTATTCCTTCTCTGTTTGTACCTGAATATACAGAAATTGATTCAAGCTAATTCCTTCCTTGCTGGAATTTCCTTTCTACGCGGTGCGACGGCGGAATGCTACCCGACTGAACGCTAGTACGCTAGCACTCCAACGCTAGGCTAACGCTGTCCGAGCCATAACTTCGTAATGGCAAAACTTTTCGCGAAGCAACTTGGTTCATTTTAAAGCTCTTGGAGCGAGCTTCGATATAGGAAATTCTCAGCTTAATCCGATCGACGCTTTGCACGATACGCTGCACGAGGTACTCTTGCTGTTTTGACTAAGTCCCTCTTGATCCCTCTCTCTACAAACTCGGACCCGAGGATAGGGGCTGGTCTTGTAACAGGCACCCAAGGACCCTTGGAGGTGACCCCGAGGAGAGGTATTAAGTTTGATAAAGTCTTAATAGCTTGAGTTTATTAGGCCCTTACACCAACAGGAAATTCATCATTCAGATGTATATATCAACGGCAATCGTCAATGGGATTTTAGAGGAGGATGTGTACATGATACAGGCACTTGGGTAGGAGGATGGTACGGGCAGGGTGTGCAAGCTGAAAAAGTCCATCTACGGCTTGAAGCAGGCGCCACGCTGCTGGTACCAGAAGTTGGCAGCTGTTTTAGAGGAGATGGGATTCAGGACCAGTAGCTGTGATGAGAGCCTCTTTCTCAAGGGGGAGGGGGAGAAGCTGGTGCTGTTTCTGGTCTATGTGGACGACATTATTCTCTTTAGCAGCAGCATGAAGGAGATCCAGAAGGTGCAGCAGCAGCTGATGGAGAACTTCAAGTGCAAGAACATTGGGGAGGTAAATACTACCTCCGGATGCACGTGGAGAGGGATCTGGATCACAGGTGGTTGAAGCTGCACCAGGAGAAGTTCATCAAGGAGCTGGGGGAGAAGTACAGGATTGAGAATGAGCGCAAGGTTGCAACTCCCCTGCCAGCAGAATTCAAGCTTGTGAAAGCTGCAGAGGATGAAGGGGTTGAAGCCGAGGAGCAGCAGCAATTTCAGTCCTTGGTGGGCAGCCTCTTGTATGCAGCAGTTCAAACGAGGCCCGACATCTCTTTTTCGGTTGGGCAGCTGGCCAGGGTGGTGCAGAATCCATCAGAGGAGTAGGTGGATGCAGCTGAGCGTGTGGTGAAGTATCTGAACTCTCACCCTGTTGGGTGCAAATTCACATTGTACGACATCCTGCCGTATGTTTGTACGAGTATGCGTGTGCGAATGCATTTGCGCGTGAATGGTATGTTCGTGTGTTTGTTTGCTTTCACAATTTTCGCTTGAAGCATTTGCAGGTACTCGCACAATGTGCGCTTCGGCATAACATTGTACGCGCTATGAACAGTACAAGCAGAAAGGACGCGCTCGCAAAGGAACCCAAGATGGAAGCTTTGCGGTTCGGCTTATTTGATTGCGCAGATTCAGTTCTATCCAACTCGAAATTGTACTGTTTTGTTTGGTTGACTATAGTGTAGCAGGGCAGGCACTATAGGGGTACAATTTAGGTGAAGTTTGGATGTTGTTTGTCTGTATCTGCATGCTACAGGGCCAGGGGAAACCAGCGGAACCAGCATTTGGCTGGTTGGGCAAAGACAAAACAGGTTCTGTTTTTAGGACCTGAACCTGGTTATTGTTTTCCCAGGTTGGAAAAACAGAACCAGAGGTTGTTCACCAACCTACCACCTGCTATTTTGTCCAGCCAGGTTGGTTC